TAGGTTATTAACATTCAAGGTTATTTTTGAGATATGATTTGTATTCCCTGTCATTTTGATTTATTTCTGATTTTTGATTTGTCTTAGTTTCTCATTTGGTTGAATGTCACTTTACTGTAGATCCTCCCTTTGCTAGTTTTCACTCCCCCCACCCCTTCATCCTCAAGGAATATTCTGTTGAGAATGCTATGTAGTGTAGGCTTTCTAGTTGTGAATTCTTTTAATTTTTGTTTATCATGGAATGTTTTCATTTTTTTTCAAATTTGAAAATTTTTCTAAATATAAAATTCTTGGTTAGCATCCATTTTCTTTCAGAGCTTGAAATATATTATTCCAGGACCTCCTAGCTATGAAGATCTGGGCGGAGAAATCAGTTTGGATCTGAATTGTCCCCCCCCCCATATGTAATTTGATATTTTTCTCAAAACCTTTGGGATTTTATCTTTATTCTCTGTGTTAGTCATTTTTATTATAACATGTCTTGGTGTGGAAGTGCTGTAATTTTGTACTTTTGGGGTCCTGTAAGCCTCTTGTATTTGATCTTCCACCCCATTCTTTAGGTTTGAAAATTTTTCTGCTATTATATCATTGAAAGATTTGGATTCTTTTGGTTTGTATCTCTGCTCCTTTATCTATTCTGATAACTCTTAAATTTGGCCTTTTCATGTTATACCATAATTCTTGGATGATATGTTCATGGTTTCTTACCATCTTCTCCACATGTTCAACTCTACTTTCAAGGTTATAGATTTTGTCTTCATTGTCTGTGGTTCTGTCTTCCAAGTGATCAAATCTGTTGGTGATACTTTCAATTGAATTTATAATTTGGTTTACTGATTCCTTCATTTTGAGGATTTTTATTTTTTAACTCTTTATTGAAGTGGTATTTCACATCTAGTATTTTTCTTTGATTTCTCTCCTTATACTATACTTCACATATCAGTTTAACCATATGGTCTGAACTCCTTTTTAGACATTTCTTCTACTGTGTTATCAGTGGCTTCTGTTGTTGAAGCATCTTGGTTTGTTTGGGGTGCTTTGTTCCCTTGTTTTTCCATGTTGTTAGTGTTCTTTCCTACCTAAAAGTATGGATCTAAGTCAAGATAAATTCTACCCTGTAGACCTATAGTGTCCCTAAAGGTTTCCAGTGCTTTGCTTTTACTGGTAAGACCAATATCAACAGGACCCAATGAACACAATAACTTAACCCTATAACCTAATAACTCCCTTAAACCTAATAACTCCTACTAAGACATCTACTGCTTTCTCACATAGAACCAAAAATAATTAGTTCAATAACTATCTATAGTATAAACAAAATATTCGCTAAAACAATTTATGATTTAAAATGGTGAATGAGAGAACAAAGGTAGTGTAGTATGCAATATTCA